ACATCGCCATCAACAAGGAAATGACAAAGACAGGGTCTAGTGCAAATCAAACTTACCGCCGTCGTCTTCATCATCGCTGGAATCAGCGCCCTCCACGACCGTCTCACGTCCATCGCTCTCCTTCCCCCGCCCCTCAAGCTCGTCGCTGCCGTTCCCCAAACTTTCTTCGTCTTCGCTACAGTCTTCATCGTTTGCGAAGGTGTACGGCTTGTCCAAACCCTCCAAGGTGACCCGATCATCGCCTGAGCCGTCCACAGTCATGGCCATCCCGCACTTTTCGAAAACGCGGAATCGGAACGCCTGTTGGCTGTTGACTCTTTCTTGCCATGGCCGCTCCAATCCACTGAGTGATCAGTACCCGCCGATCAGAAGCTGTCAGCGCCGCGGTTTCCCACCTCTCGAGGTTGTCCGACTGCTCGAGCTACATGTCCATCTGCCTCCCAGCTTCCACCTTGATAAATCGTCCGGCTACTGCATCAACTGGCTGCACCTCGTCCGTGCACTCCGAAGGGCCATACCAGGCGAGAGTGTTGCACTCCTTCGGAAGATACTCCTTGAACTCGTCCGTCGTCTGCGCGTGCAAGTTGTCCATGATAAGAATGGACCTCGCCTTGGGAAGCTCACCCCGCCCGCGCATCAGGCCTTCGCGGTAGGACGTATCGGTGATTACGACGGTCGCAGAGAGGGAGTCCAGAGTTCCCAAGTACGGCCAATTCCAGCTCTGGGAGCGTTGGAATGTAGATCAAATGCCTTTGGCATTCGTAAACGGGCTTCTCGATACGTGGGAGGAGCGAGGTGCGAAGCGTGTCGCCATCTCACACCGTACCGGCTCTTGCAGGAGCTTGCGAAAAAGTTGGTGGAAGCGCTGGATCTTTGGTAGGCGCTCCTCAACAGACTTGTTCTTGAGGTTGGTCCGAGGTCTTTTGGACAGGTTGTGCCTCTTGGCCCATTTTCGTGCCCACCTGAAGGATGCGCGGAACGCCGCCGCCCGTTGGTCCCCGGGATACATCTCTCGCACGAGCTTCCGGAACGTGATCGTCAGCCACAGGGTCGATACCTTCAGCTTCCTCTTACGTCGCTCCACGAACATCTTGTAAAGCCTCTTTTCCGCCTCAGGAAACCACCGCTTAGGCTACTGCTTGGCGAGGAGGCTCTTCTTCACGTCGTCTGCTCACGCCGCGACTATGGCCTTCTCGTCCTTGGCCCACTTTACGATGTTGCTGTAGTGAACCTTGAGACGATCCGCTAAGCACTGAAGAGGCGTGCGCTCCTCCTCCTTCCAGATGTCCGCGGCGTTGTCCTCGAGGATGCGCAGCTGGTTGACAGCATTGGCATTGAACCTATAGTGGTATCGCCTGCGCTTGGGAGCTCCACGAGTTTCCTTGGTTTCGCGGTCCATAAAGCCGTCGCTTTCCAAGTCTAGACCGAGAAAGCGCTTCCGCTGGAGGACAAACGAAGCCGCCCCCGTCACATCATCGACCTTCACGTGCCAACAACGCCCAGGCCCGGCTTCTTCCCACGGCAGGACACGCCCTTCGAGATTCTTCCGTAGCATCCGCCGCAGCCGCACGCCGTTGAACATGTTTGCACTTCTGTGCTGCGTTCTCACGTGGATCCCAAGGCCTTGCTCGTTCACGAAGGTCATGGGACAGTGAGGGCAGGATCGGCGGGACTCCGGGGCCGGAGGCGGGAAGCTGATACTGGATACGAACTCTGTCACACCACCACGAGTCCGCTCAATCTGCTCGGTGCGATGGGAAAGGGCGGAGTTGCCGTGTAGGGGATTCAACGAGCCATGTGACGTGTCAGTCGCTCTTATTAGTTGTGGCGCTGTTGAATTCAAACTTCCGTGGATGCCGTTGGCGAAAGTATCTATGCACTCTGAACGACTGGTTCCTCGAAAAGGTTATCGTGAATCACACGAGAGAGTGGGGAGATAACGTTTGTTTCGTTTGGGTCACATTAGACTAATAAACTTAACTATTTTTTTTTCATTTTTTCTCTTGCTTTTAGAATATCGGGAATTAAAAAAAAAAAACACCTGTGTAGCAAAACAAAGCAACAGCGTGCGTCGGAGCGTTGGATACATATGTAACCGATTTCACCGGTTGTCCGCTGCCAATTGAGAACGCGTTGCAGATGTTGCCGCCTAAAGTGCCTTTCGCAGCTCTCTCCCTGGCGTGCTTCCCTCGATCCACCTTCCTCCTCGCGGTACCCGCTGCAGCAGCAGGTGGGTGCTGAGAAGGTGCAGCAGCACCTCGTGCGCTGCTGGCATCTTGTTGGGATGACAAGGACAGGCGGGTGCTGCTGGTAATGCCCTGGATTTCACCATCAATCTGCACGATCCACTCTCCTTCGTCGAAGATACCGTTCTGCTTCAACCCCCACGCGCTCTCGATGGCGTCCCACCGCTCCTTCGCAACGGAGTTTCCCGCCTTCACATGTGTTTTTATCGTGTCGAAGTGACGGTCAAGAATCAGACCCCGTCCTTTCAACTCTGCAAGTTTGCCAAGATCTTTCAACGACCCATGGGATAAGGGATTGGACAGGGACATGATCCCCCTGTACGGCAGGCAACTCGCGGCCCGCTGCACGTGCGTGGCCTGGCAGCCGCCAAGGGGGCCCGACGTGTACAGTGCCCACCCTCTCCTCTGCAAAAATTGCAGATTCCGAGGTGTATGTATGCACCCACCTTCGGCACACCTTCTCCCCTGCCAAATCCAATACTTGGATCACCCCCCCCGCCCGTCTCCCCCTCCCCGTTCGAATGTTCTTATCTCGTAGCTGCTGAATGTGCTCTTGTTCTTATCTTTAGCAGCAGTGGTACACCTCAGACGTGCGTTCTTATTCTTAACTGCAGGTGCAATCTGAGCACGTGTTCTTACCGGAAAATTCTTAAATTTTTTTTTTTTAGCGCCATGTTCTTAAGTGCCATATTCTCAAGTGCGGGCCTCAGCTGTATTTTGCTGTAGGGAATCTTGAGACGATCCTCCAAGAACTGAAGAGGCGTGCGCTGCTCCTCCTTCCATAAGTCTTCGGCGTTGTCCTGGAGGATGCGCAGCTGGTTGACCGCGTGGGCTTTGAACCTGAAGTCGTATCGCCTGCGCTTGGGAGCCCCACGAGTGTCCTTGGGTTGGTGGTCCATAAAGCCGTCGCTTTCCAAGTCTAGACCGAGAAAGCGCTTCCGCTGGAGGACAAACGNTTGCTGTAGGGAATCTTGAGACGATCCTCCAAGAACTGAAGAGGCGTGCGCTCCTCCTCCTTCCAGAGGTCTTCGGCGTTGTCCTCGAGGAGGCGCAGCTGGTTGACCGCGTGGGCTTTGAACCTGAAGTCGTATCGCCTGCGCTTGGGAGCCCCACGAGTGTCCTTGGGTTGGTGGTCCATAAAGCCGTCGCTTTCCAAGTCTAGACCGAGAAAGCGCTTCCGCTGGAGGACAAACGAAGCCGCCCCCGTCACATTATCGACCTTCACGTGCCAAAAACGCCCAGGCCCGGCTTCTTCCCACGGCAGGACACGCCCTTCGAGATTCTTCCGTAGCATCCGCCGCAGCCGCACGCCGTTGGACATGTTTGCACTTCTGTGCTGCGTTCTCCCGTGGATCCCAAGGCCTTGCTCGTTCACGAAGGTCATGGGACAGTGAGGGCAAGATCGGCGGGACTCCGGGGTCGGAGGTGGGAAGCTTATTCCGGATATGAGCTCTTTCACTCCACCGCGAGTCCGCTCAATCTGCATGGCAAGGTGGAAGCAGGGCGGAGTTGCCGTGTAGGGGATTCAACGAGTAACGTCATGTATCGTTCGCTATGGAGTGTGGCGCTTTCGACCTCAAACCTCCGTGGAGAGCCGAAAGCTGTCTGTTTCGCTCGTGACTATTCAAACAAAGTATCAAGCAGAGAACGTGCACTGTTGTGACGCCAAAGCAAAGTCGCTGGCATCCAAACTAGAATATCTGTCTACACTATTTTCTTTTAATGTTCTGGGCTTACTTGAAAATAAGGGGGATGGACTAAAATTTTATCTCATCATGTCTACACAGCAGCAGCATTCCACGAATCTGAAAAAGGCACAACTTTCCGGAGTATTTGCACCGGAGTTAGCTCTTGCCAGCAGACGCAGTTGACGATAACTCGACACTCCTCCACTTGCTTGGGCACCTACAGCAAGAAACGGCGTGCGAAACGCAGTCGTTGCCAGCAGAGGCCAGCCCCAAAACTACGAACTTTCTCCTTTTTATTTTATTAAATTACGCGCCGCTACTGAAAACAAATGGCCCTCATCATGTCATCGTTTTCACGGGAGTATTTCTTGAAAAACGAAATAGTGTATGTAGACTACACCGGTAGCGAAAAGGTATCTGTGTGCTCACCGGTCCTCGGCTGCCAATCGCGAACGCGTTGCAGATGTTGCCGCCTAAAGTGTTCGTGAGCTCTGGCAACAGTACTTACTTGCCGTGCGGACTTGGGGCTGCTGTTTAACTGGTTGAATTAGCACGCGATAGAGAAGGCACGAAGGGAGAGAGAGCGGAAGGAGAGAGTGCCCCGAACTCACGATGCGTACATCACGATGTATAACGACAACACGTATACGTGAGAATTACCACTGGATTCGGCAACCAAAAAAATTACCGTCAAAAGAAACGACAAACGAAAAACGAAACAAGATCAAGAACTCTTGAAAAATTCGGATTTCACCGACACCCGTAAACTGGCGTCGACAAAAGAAAAACACAAGAAAAAAAATATCAAGCTTGCCCGTCCGCTCCACCAGTTCCAATCGTGAAGATGAAGCGCGCCCTCGATCGTCCACAAGTCGATCCTGCCGATCCCGATCTCCATCGTCCCTTCCCGGCTTATGAAATGCGCGCGGCGACTCTCCACGCGGCTTTGATGACACCGCCATATCGCTGTGCCCCACCCCAAATGCCCACCTCCGGCTGATGGTTGCGCGCCACCTTCGCAACTTAGAGAAAACACCGCCCGCGTCAAGCGAGTGCGGCGCCCACCCCCCACACGCCGTCGCGGGGTCAATCCATGGTATGGTGTCTCCGGCTATTCTGCCCAACGGTCACTTTACCGTCGCTGCTTTCCACCGCCTCCTATCCCGCAGATGGAGTGCGCACCGTCAATTGTGCGACTTTCATGGCCCCTCTGTCCATGCTGTGCTTGCGCGCCACCTCCGCGCGACTTCGTCCGGCCCCCCCACCGCAAATCAGCGGCGCGGAGGGCCTACGTCCAACCTGCCGTGCCGTATTAGCAACACCACCTGTCCACCCTAGAAACTTTCAGTTATCACTTCCTGCACCTTTGCTTCCTCCTCGTCTTCGGTCAGCTTTTCCCAACTAGGATCCATCTTGCACAGTTCCTCCGCGCGGTCGTACTGCTCTTCGAAACTCACCACCGCGAATTTGGCATGCTCCACTACCGCCATGCACGCTTCCTCCGTGGGTGTTGCACACTTCTCGCTGTTGTGCCCAAAGCCCGAACACGTGACGCACTGCTCCAGGAAGTCCTCCTCCTTCGTGGTGCAGTCGGGCTTCCTATGCCCGCGGTGGTTGCACCGGAAACACCTCCGGTGGTCGACCCGGTCGTCCGTCCCCGCCTTCTTTTTGTTGCCACGGCCGTTGCTCTTACTGCCGCGGCCGCCGCCAGCCTGCCCCTTCCCGGTGCCGTCACCCGCAATGTACGCCTGCTCCCCCCCGGATCTTGCTGCTGGTAATACCCTGCGTTTCGCCGTCAATCTGCGTGACCCACTCTTCATCGTCGAAGACACCGTTCTGCGTCAGCCCCCACGCGCTCTCGATGGCGTCCCATCGCTCCTTTGACGTGGAATCGGCCGGCGATGGCCTATCGCACGTAGATATGTGTGTAGATGTGCCAGTGGGGTCGTGGGTTTGCGCGTCTCGAAGTTTCTTGCGATCAAAGTGTGTTTCTTAGGCCTTCGTGGGCCGGGAACAGCAGGGAAATCGAACACTGAAGAAGTGGGCACGCGACATCAGCTGACGCGAGCTAATTGCGCCGCTTCCTCTGTATCTATCCAATTGCGCCGCTTCACTCTCTCTCCAACTCTCTCTCACTTTCTCTCCAAATAACTGCAATTCCCCCCTAAGGTCATCATTCCAACCATAAACCCACACCTTCTCAATTCTAGTCTCCAGCTCATACACTTTTCATGACCTTATTTGACGATATCTCAACCAGAACTAACTCCAACTCTGCTCCCAAAGCCATCAATTCCAAGTCCATTCCATCACGCCTCAACATATATCCTGCGATTACCCTACCCCAAGTCTTCTTACCCTGACCTAACCTAGGGTTAACTTATTGCACGACATTCGCCCCCCCCAGGTTCAACGCATACATATCTGCGATCAGTCTTGTTTGAATTAACACTTGACCACAACGTGCAATACCTGACCTTATACCAATGTCATTTCCTTGCAGCAAGTCCCAACATTCATCACCAGAATTCAACTGATTGATGCAATACACACACTCTCCAACCAAGTCCGTCAAGACCGTGGTACCAATGCAATATGACTCCATCACAAGGTACATTCTTGAGCCAAAACAAGAATTGCTCAGCACAACATTAATTTTTTGACCCGTATTCGACTGCACCACTTGGCACACTTTTCCGCAGTCCTACGCACTTCAAATTTAAACACCTAATCATCTCCAACTCAAACATGTACTTCTTGACACTTTTCGCGCCGTTCCGTGTGCATGCCAGCACCACGTTCGTTCCTGGATCGTGTACCAGGTTATCCGTCGTCAGATTCTTCTCCAGAAGCGCCACATTGATGTTTTTTTGCCGATGTCCACCAGCTTCATAGTATGCTTGATGCCTTCTTCCCACCTCGGATCCGGAGTCACCTGCATCACCTTCGCAAACTGCCACCCCGCCCTTACAGTCTTAAAAAATAAATAGGCACCAATCATCGCCTTACTTCGAAGACTCGGCCTACCCCGTATGTCACAACAAAGTTTATAATCTTTCTGCAAGTGTCTTTCTCCCTTCCTGCTAGCAATCATCCGTTTTGCACCCTGAATACGGTACCTCCGATACCTTATGTTCCCTCCGGCCGATTGTTCCGGCTGCTCATTCCAATATTTAATTACCACGTCCCCATATTTCTCCAACTCTACTTTATGCTCCCACATACACTTAGCCAACCCCGTACAATGCGTGTAGTACTGAACCGCCCCCTTCACACTGATACCTCGACAAATTCTGTGCCTTGATATTTTACACGGGACCAATTCCTTACTATCCAGTTCTNCCTTATGTTCCCTCCGGCCGATTGTTCCGGCTGCTCATTCCAATATTTAATTACCACGTCCCCATATTTCTCCAACTCTACTTTATGCTCCCACATACACTTAGCCAACCCCGTACAATGCGTGTAGTACTGAACCGCCCCCTTCACACTGATACCTCGACAAATTCTGTGCCTTGATATTTTACACGGGACCAATTCCTTACTATCCAGTTCTTCCTCTACGTCTTCTGCCGTAAGATGGAACGGAGGCGCCAATTCTGAAAACTTATTCAACACATGCTAAAGCCCCACGGCAAGAACCTAGGTCTATCCTCGTTCTCGTGCTGAGTATAGCAATTTCTACACCGATATACCGACACCCTCTCGTTAATGTTCTTTCCGGGCTCATCCTTATTCACGTCCAAATACAACATATTCGGGCCCACCTTTTCTCCGTCAAGACCATCCCTTGGATCCACGATCAACACCTTGTACGGGCCAGTCCAATTGTGTGCCAACTTCGGGATCAACGCGAACGATTTTCCTTTCCCCCTCCTATTCACTCGCGATTTAAGCACGTGTTCCCCCCCACCAGAAATCGTACTCTCATCATACACAAAGACCCAGTCTCCTTCTTTATACTTCGGTCTCTTTCCTATTATCGAGTTCAACACCTGATTGCTCTTCTCATGCTTAGCCTTGGTTACCTTATCCTGCGCTCTTACCAGCTCATACGCTTTCTTCTGCTTATCCCTCATCAAGTTCAAGTAATCCAATTGGTCTTGCTTTAGGCCCTGATTTCCCGAAACGCCTCTTCCCTCCAAGATCGTCATCGGCAGCCTCGGGTATCTTCCGATGTGTACTACGTTTGGTGCTAACCCCGTCTCTCGGCTCACGTTATTGTTGTGTGCCGCTGCCGCGTGTGGCAACATCTCATCCCAGTTCGCCTGATCGTCCGCAACTAAGTGTGACAACATTTGACACAACGTGTGATTTAACCGTTCAACCATCCCATTCGTCTGCGGATGATAAGAGCTAGTAAACTTCTTCACCGTCCCCAGCATCTTATACACCCCTTTCGCTACCTCATTCGCAAACTCTGCTCCCCTATCCGACAACATGGTGTGCGGACAACCCCGCCTCGCAATATAATCGTTCACCATGATGGACACAAAACTCTTCGCGTTCTTCTGCGCCTTCGTTAGTGGGCACCCCTCGGCATGTCTGCTAAAATAAATCTACCACCAGGAACACATACTCGTTGTCTTTCGTCGTTTTCGGCAACGGACCCAAATAGTCAAACGACACCATCTGTCCCGGTCTGCTCGGAAGAGGGAAAGACACTAACGGCGAACACTTCGTATGCCGCGGCAGTATCCGAAACTGACAAGAATAACACCTACGGATCCACCAACGTACGCTTTCCGCCATTCCTATCCACAAATACACTTTGTATGCCGCGACACTTTCCGAAACTGACAAGAATAACACCTACGGATCCACCAACGTACGCTTTCCGCCATTCCTATCCACAAATACACTTTGTATGCCGCGACACTTTCCGAAACTGACAAGAATAACACCTACGGATCCACCAACGTACGCTTTCCGCCATTCCTATCCACAAATACACTTTGTATGCCGCGACACTTTCCGAAACTGACAAGAATAACACCTACGGATCCACCAACGTACGCTTTCCGCCATTCCTATCCACAAATACACTTTGTATGCCGCGACACTTTCCGAAACTGACAAGAATAACACCTACGGATCCACCAACGTACGCTTTCCGCCATTCCTATCCACAAATACACTTTGTATGCCGCGACACTTTCCGAAACTGACAAGAATAACACCTACGGATCCACCAACGTACGCTTTCCGCCATTCCTATCCACAAATACACTTTGTATGCCGCGACACTTTCCGAAACTGACAAGAATAACACCTACGGATCCACCATGTACGCTTTCCGCCATTCCTATCCACCAATATACCCTCTGTAGAATACCTAGAGTCACTTTCTCTCCCAAATGCACTGCTTCTTTGTGAGCGCAATCCATGACCCATGGTCTCAACACCCTAGGCACATACGTCCGAACGGGCTCTTCACCTACCAACCTCTCGAATTGCCCTGGATTTCGATTTGGATTTCCCACAGGGGCTTTCGATTCTTTCGTCACCAACAAATGCTTCGAATTCGGCAACACCAACAAAGCACCCTGTGCCACCAACCGCTTCAACTCATCCAAATCTACATCTTCATTGTTCGGAATATCACCCTTATCCATCTTCTTTGGAACGGCATGCCCTGCAATGGCCTTAATTGCTAATCGCGCCGTATTGTCTTTCTCCTGTATGTCCGCCCAATCACTCGCTACCTTACCACATAAATTCTCCCCAAATTCAATTGCCGCTTGCGTTTGTCCTTCATCATACTCTTGCAACGGAATTTGTGGCATCGAAGGTGCTGCTGGACCTCTGCCCCCGGAACCCCTTCCCCTACCCCCACCAGCAACCCCTCCTCCTCGAGCCGCACCACCTCGACCCCTTCCACGCGCAACAGTCCTGCTGCTACGAGCATTACTGCCACCACCATCACCAGCAACAGACCCACTCTCACTAGCGATACTGCTACTACCACCACCAGAAGCACTACCCCCTCCTTGAGAAAAAGCATACACTCGCGGTTTTCCCACCAATCCTAACAAGCGTCTGCCAACTTCTGTTAAAGGAACAGCATGTAGTATCAGCCCTGGCTCCAACTGACCACTGACTACTTCCCCATTCGGTTCCACCAACCGGGTGTCATCAGGCACACACGCACCATCAGGCAAAGGGTTGGATACGCCCTTTTCCCTTTGGATCAGCGCCCACACCTTGTCTGCCAGTTCATCCGTAGTGAGGCTTGCCAATGTACGGCCACTTTCCCCCACCACAAAATCATCGCGATGGCTCAACCCAGCGAGCGCCTCTCGCTCGGTGTACACCGGACCCAATCGCGAAGGTAGCATCCCGCTCGCACCTATCATATAAACATCGAGATCAGACGGATCAGTTAGTCTGCCATCTGGTGCCTCATCCTCTTACGTCGCAGGCAATGGCAACCGTGACATCAAATCGGCATTTGCATTCTCTCGCCCTGGTCGATACTTCAGTTCATACGTGTACGCTGACAGGAAGTCATACCCCTCTGTACGCGATTATTTTTCTCTGCCAAACTCCCCGAATTCCGCAAGGGTTGATGGTCACTGTACAAAGGGGATGCCATAAAATAGTGTTCGATCCTTCTTTATCGCCCACACTATCGCACCCGCTTCAAGCTCAGTCGGACTCCATCTTGTTTCATTCGCGAATGTTGATCTGCTCAAAAAGCATAGCGGTCTTNCTGGTCGATACTTCAGTTCATACGTGTACGCTGACAGGAAGTCATACCCCTCTGTACGCGATTATTTTTCTCTGCCAAACTCCCCGAATTCCGCAAGGGTTGATGGTCACTGTACAAAGGGGATGCCATAAAATAGTGTTCGATCCTTCTTTATCGCCCACACTATCGCACCCGCTTCAAGCTCAGTCGGACTCCATCTTGTTTCATTCGCGAATGTTGATCTGCTCAAAAAGCATAGCGGTCTTATACTTCCATCGCGTTGCTCTTGCTCGATTACGGCTCCCAAGCCCGAAATCGACGCATCAGCGGTTAACCTAAACGGCCGCTTTCCCGAGATTGCACCCTCACAACACGGAAATGCCAAAACTTCAGGGCCAGACAGAATATCCATCATTTTTCTCACTACTGCCACATGATCAGCCGCGAACGCAAACTTCGCCCCCTTTTTCAGCATCGCATTGATCGGTTTCAATTTTGCCGACATGTTCTTCAGGAACTTTCGATAGTACGACAAGAACCCCAGCAACGATCGCAACTGGCTAACATTAGTGGGCATTGGCACTTCACGCAGCGGTCTGACCTTTTCCGGGTCCGGCCCTATCCCTTCCGCCGTGACTTGATGTCCCAAGAACGTCACCACCTTCACCCCCAGGTTCGTCTTCTTGGGTGCCAGTTTCAGGTTGAACTTGACCATGCGCTCGAAAAACCTCTCCAGGTCGCGCACGTGCTCTGCCCCGTCCCTTGGAAAAACGATCACGTCATGGATAAACAGACGCACACGTTGCAGCCCGTCACATACTCTGGCCATCTCCGAATGGAACCACCCAGGACTACTACTGAGACCTTGCGGCACGGATAAAAATTCGTACGACCCCGTAGACGTGATAACAGCAGTGATCGGAATGCTGTCCTCCTCAATACTACACTGGAAAAACCCACTGACCAAATCCAGCGTACTGAAGATTTTCGATTTGTCCAATTCCGCCAAAATATCCTCCACTATCGGAATGGGCAATGTCGGGATTACACTCATTTTATTGATGCGCTTGTAGTTGACCGTCAACCGTACACCACCGTTAGCCTTCGCGATTACCACCAGCGGACTTGCCCAATTGCTGTACGATCTCCGCAACACCCCCGCCAACAGCAATTTGGCAATTTCGATCTGCACCTTTTCGTTCATAACCGGCGAATAGCGATATGGCCTCTGCCGCACTGGCTGTGCCCCCGGCTTTAAAATGATTCGAAACGGATCGACCGTCACTCGTCCTAAATCCGAACCACCCTTCGAAAAACGATGCTCAAACTTGCACACTATATCACCTAGATTGTCAATGTCCTCCGGCTCCCACAGTTTCGCACTGAAGTCGAAATGGACGTCTCGAATGTGCGGAGGCACCCTCTGCCACAACCGCCTGAACGCCACCTGTTGCGCCCCATTCAAAGAAGACACAACATCAGCGGGAGGTTCGTCGTTAGGCATGCCAACCTCTTCACCCTCCTGAACCGCAAATGCATTTTTTGAATTCCTCATTTTCCACCAAACGAGCATCGTCCAAATTCACCACCTCCAAGGGTTCACCACCATACCCCAAAATATCGTTTGGTTTCACCAGACATGAGCTATCCCCCACTCTTCTCAACGGAATTTCAGACGTGCCATTTTCGACTAACGCTTCTCGCGGGAACCACTTCTTCCCAAACTGCACACGGTACGTCCCCACCGCAGCGTTGCTGCCATCTAGGTTGGTCAATTTTACCTCAACCCATGATATTGCATTTGGAAGCCGTCGTCTACTACCATTCGATTTCACCACCACCTTTCCATCACCTTCCGTTTCCACCATACAAACCGCGTCACCTACCCATTCATCAAAGCGGTGATCTCCTGCCACTTTATCAGTACTTGCTCCGACAAAAGTGACAATCGTTTCTGTGTCCGACACGTTTTGGATTTTGCGAACTGGAAAATCCGCCCAGCTATCCCTCCCTAGTATCAGATCATGTCACATGGCCGAGTCTGGCACAATGTATGCATACACACTCGTCCGTACCGTTGGTGTACCGAAATGCACCGGCGCTGATTTCCCGCCCTTCCACAATTACATATTTAATCGCATTCTTCGTTCTGTAACCAATGGTACCCCATGGAACCCACCCCATTTCTTGTTCAGCCCCTTTTCAATACTGTCAGTTGAAGCTGAACCATATGCCAACATCTTTTGCACACACCTTTCTTGTACAAACGATGCCAGACTTCCCGTATCCAACAGAGCCTCCCACGACATCATTTTGGTCGCCCTTGCCCCCGCGAATACTTGCACTCGAGTCGTATGTCGATGTCGGTCCATCGTCAAATCCCCACCGACAGACAGAGTAAATGGTGACAGGTAGTTCGCCGCTTCACCTGCAGCAAACGTAAAAGGAGGCGGAGGGTACAACGCATCATTCCTTTGTCCTGACACAGAAGTAACTGATACTTTTACGGCGAAAATGCGATCTGTTCCTTCCTGTACTTCACCAAAATTTCCCCCCTCTCGCGCTGCTACCTCATCCTTACGCGTGAGAGAATTTTCAGAGGCTGATGCATCCCCTATCACGCCCTCTTTACTTATCACTGGCAAGGCAACAGTTTCATGGCTCTGCTTGCCCCCAGCACGATCAACGGTAACGCTTTCTTCCCTTCTAGTGTCCCCATCAATCGACCCCTTTTTTGCTCCATTTCGACCAACCGTGTGTTCCGCTTGAGGATACAGCGGACACGTCACTGTTCTCGGAGAATTTGCCTTGCGTACTTGCTTCCTTTGAGTGTTTAACGCACTCCCCGCTGGTGTTGTTTACTCCCCCCGGTGCTTGCCATTGGGGTTGGGTTTTCGTCGCTTGGCAACGACGTTGTAAAACAAGCTAATTCACTTCGTGAACACGGCAACCAGGTTATCGTTTTTTTTTTTTTTACCACCGTTTTTTTTTTAGCGGTAACCATAATGGTGGTCGAGTAGATCATGTTGTGCGGGGTCGAGAGTCCTCACTCCGCGCAAGGGGGATGATCGCACCACGTTGTGTTAAATGGTCACGCACCCTCGAGGCAGTTTACACAGTGCTTTCAACTGTCTCAGGAAGTGAAAGCACCAGAAAATAAATTAAGTCATACGCCGCTGTCATCCGTACGCAAGGAAGTAAGCACAAGATGCCGAACATCCATAGCAGGATGCAGCGCACCCTTCA